ACGTTACTTAACGTTTAAGACGTAACATTTTATTTTTCAATATGACACTTTCTGTTCTTTTTTTTAAACCAAACAACGTAATCTACGTTAAAAAAACTTTAAAGAAAAAAAAAAGAGCCGCAAGGTCCTTTTAAATTTGCCAACAGAGTTGCCAAATAAACCTGACCTGCCTTCGCCTCCTGCATCGGAACGGACGAACAAGCCGCGGCGGCGTCGGACGACGAGGGAAGCGCAACAGAAGCCGATTATTGACCCCCTTGGCTCGTTCGGGCCGCTGGGGGGGGACCGGGGGGACGGAGGGGGGTTGTCCCGGAGGGGGGGACGACGTCGGCACCGGTTTCCGGGAGTCAAGGCCGCCTCAGCGAGAGTGGACGCCGGCGACGGCAGATCCGGGTCCGCGCTGGTGTTGGCGCCTCGCCGCCGCCGTGCGATAGACGGGTCGCCCGAGGGCCTTTCGGGCCGCTTTCTTTCTGTTCGCTCTTCTGTTGGCTTCGGACATCGGCTACTAGCCGACGCAATCCGGGCTAATCGCCGGTCCACTGCAACAAGGCACCACCACCAACTAGGCCTGCTGGTGGTAGTACTAATGCGATACTGCTGCAGCTTCTGCTGTAGGTTTTCTGGGGGTCTTTTCTCTTGTGTGTGTGTGAACCCAGTACTGTAACGTTTGCACCTGTCTTTGTCTTGTTTTTTGTTTGTGTGTGTGTGTGTGTGCTGATTTTAGAGGCTAGAGATGGCAAAGTCGTAGGGGATGTTGTTGATTACTACATTTCTCGTCCTTCTTTTTAAACGCTCCCTACGGTGGGGTGAGGGCAACTCCAGAAGGGGGAAGGGTGTTGTTGATTGGATTGAAGGGGAGTTTGTTGTTCGCGATGGACGCGAAATTGTCGCGTTTCTATTTTTTATTTTATCGGCTTCTCGCGGTAGCTCCGGAGAAAATAAAGAAGAAAAAGAAAACCCGAAAGAGACGAAAGTTTAGCCTCTGGTGCAGCTATGGTGTGGCGGCGCGGCGGTCTTTTGCGGCTTGCGTATGACAAAGTCCCCCGTAATTTTCGGTAATGGAGATCTGGCGAGCCCCTGCGAGTCGCCTCGTTTATACCCCCGCCCACTTACCTCCCTGCTGGCTCCCGGTGGGTGACGGCGTATACCGCCATCATGCGTTGTGTGCCGTCTTAGAGGTTCGCCAAAACCATCCCCTATTACTATGTCCATCTCCTAGTCTCTCGGTCGTCGCTTTTAATTGTACGGGCGATAAGAACTCAGCGTTTACTTTAAAAAAAACTGTTTAATAGAGACAAGACAACGGCGAAGAAAAAACACCTGTCGCAGTTCGCGCGTTCGACCTATATTTGTTGGTACACTTAAACTGCCAATAGAACGGAGGCCACGGCCAGTACCACTAAAACTGGATCAGGCATTTCCGTTTGATGGAGTGTGTTGTGCACGCTTGTAACCAAGTAAATACGTTTATTAATAGCCTTTCACCCCAAGAACCGTAGTGCACTTCAGATTAGATTAGAGTAGGTGCATTTTAGATTAGATATATGTTATCAACACGTACATTGTTCACCAAACTTGCTCGGAACACGGGAACTCTGTTTTCTCATGTCAGGGCCATTCTGAAGGAAAAACTGAGCTACAAGTCTTTGATGTTGCAATTTAGGAGGGTTTGTCGAGTGCTGTATGTCAAGAAACCGTTACTCTGCCGCCTCCAGGACAGGGTTCCTCTTAGGGATGCTGCGAACCTTACGAAGTTCGGGTTCGCAATTTTCGAACCTCGCTAAGGTTCGAATTTGAAAAGTTCGCAACTTAAGAACCCCGTTGAAATTCACATTTTAATACCTCGAAATTGTGACGGTTTCTGAAAGTTCGACTTCGAAGATATCGATTTATTTTACAGATTGTTCGAAATATTTGAATATTTTGAATTTATTTAAGATTCAAGTTCGGAAAATTCGAATATTTCGATTTTTTCGAGGTACAAGGTTGAAAAGTTCGAAAGTTTCGATTTTAAGTTCCAAGTCTGAATTTCAACGATGGAAATAAAATTCCACAGTTGCAAACTAAGTTTTCATGACTTCATCTAGAAAAATCGCGAAATCCGCTATAAATTTGACTAAAAACGTTGCCCAGACTATTATGAAATTACAGCAGCTCACTTGCGCCCTCCCGTTTCGTTCGTTCATAATCCTGCCTTCTCAGTGCTGCGGTACTGACGATACTACCTGTGTTACTCGCTATGTGTCATAACTAATGAAACAAGCGTTGAACTAGTAGAATGGTTCATTGAAAAGCCCTGAGGCAGTCAGGCGAAGGTACTTACTTATATACAAACTAATAGCAATCCGATCAAACGTCGCCTAAATGCAATGCTGGCATAAGCAAACTAAATATGCAAGACAACGCATTCACATAAGGGCGCCCATGGCTTTCCCGAAACTTTTTAGTTTATCCAAGCGTTTATCTTCGGCAGGATGACTCGTGGGATGGAGAAAACACTGAACACAGGCACAGCACCCGAAACAAGTCAAGGTTGAGGAGAATGCAACAGACTAAATTAGGGGACCACCCGGCCTAATACGGCTGATCAGGTCACGACCGGTTGTTATCGAACTAACCATACATCCGCTGCTTGGAACTTCTCTTCTTCGACGGATGGAGATATTGGCCGCTCTGAAATGCAGCCGGTTACTAATGGTAATGAAGTAAGAGCCGATTCAGTGTTCGCTGTAGCGCATCGGCGTCACCCTCTGCGCGCGCCTTTCCTCGACGCGAAGAAATCGAGGGACTAGCGTCCAAAAACAACTAACGCTTTGAAGGAAGCTCCCAGCGAAGCGCCCCGGTTGAATTTCGAGCCTGCGGACCAGGGATCTGTTGGCCTACAGGTTACCCCGGGGCAACCTACGGAGTTGTGCTCGGGAGAGGCCCTGTGCCGAAGTCGAAAGGAAAAGGTGGGAGGTAAGAGGCCGAGGCTGCCCTAAAGCGATCATTCGGGGCTTTACAAGCCCGTCGTTTGTAGCACGATTAGCTAACGGTTAGACTCGGTGCAATTTCAACTCCACTTTACACGCTGACATCTTGTGTTATTTATATTTGTTGCCTGGAACCTATTGGGATAAATGTGGTTCGAACTTTGTCGAACTTTTGCTCAGAGGTTAGAAGCTCGTCGAACTTTTGAACTCAGTAAGTTCGAAAATGTCGAATTTCACAGCGCAAAAAAATCGGAAATTCGAAAACAATCGACCTTTTCAGCGACAAAAATTCGAAAGTTTGAAAATAGGTTCGACGTTTCGAAACTCTACAAACCTTTTGAACTTCTTGGTTTGACCTTCCAACCTCACGTTCGCAAGAAGTTCGCAGCATCTCTAGTTCCTATGCGGAGGGCAAGTTCGTCTGCTTGTTGCGCAGGGGGTAGCGGTCACGTCAGAACGCCGATCCCTGATTGGCTGATTGCGACCCCCTATCTGAGCGTCGTCTGCTCCTTTGCAACGTCGTCTGCGTCTGTCTTACCTTTCCTGCGACTTTCGGAAGTCGAGCGAGCTCGACTTCGCCTTTCAGAAAGGGCAGACGAAATAACTCGAGCGGTACGTTGTTTTTGTCTAACAACTAGCAGACGCGCATCAAGGAGAGAAATCAAAGGACTCACTGGCGAAATGTCCCGAGGCGCCGAGGTTTGTTTGCTAAGAACCGAGAGTGAGCGCATTAGTGTCCGCAAGTTCCCTCCCAAGTACTTTTTCCCTCCTTTCGTGTGCGGCGAGACCCCTCATTCTTTAACGGCGTCGGCGGGTTGGCGCAGTTAACGTCGTCTGCTTCACGTCTGCTAGTCAAAGGGATGGCTGTTTTACCTTTCCTGCGTCTGTCGGAGATTCGCCGCTTTTTCACCGGCGAGAGTCACCGTTGCCTCGGGAAACAAGGATATAACAAGAGGAAGAAATTGACCTCTTAATCTAAAAATGAGGTCAGCGGTCAAAGTATAATACAGGAAGGGTTCACAAGGGTCGCGCGGGCATATTCCATTCAGCACACCAGCCGATCGTGGTCAGACGGTCGCCGAGTCGCGGAGTGCCTGCTAGGCCTAACTGCCGTGCTCGCTTGGTCGCGTTCAATGGAATCGTGGCCGTTGGAGCTTTTCCCGGATGTTTGTGGATCCAGCGTTCTTGTTCGTCGTGGTCTATTTCAAGTAATTTTTACTTTTTTCTTGCTGCTTGAAGTCGGGACGCGTGAGAAGCGCACGTAGAAAAATAAACACCGGTGGGTTGTCGCGACCGCGACGCTGTCGGCCATGCTGATTTGATCGTAAGAAGTGCGTAAGCCAGCTTCGGAGCGGTCGTAGGATTTCGTCGTAACCTGCGCAAAACTTACGAAAATTTCGTTTCGTGAATACGACTTTGCTCTTAAGTTTCGTCTTACGCACATTTTTGGCGTAAGATCGTTTCGTAAATCTGGCCTCTGCGCTTGCGAAAGTCGCAGGAAAGGTAAGACAGACGCAGACGCCGTTGCAAAGGAGCAGACGACGCTCAGATAGGGGGTCGCGATCAGCCAATCAGGGCTCGGCGTTCTGACGTCACCGCTACCCCCTGCGCAACAAGCAGACGAACTTGCCCTCCGCATAGGAACTAGAGATGCTGCGAATTTCTTGTGAACGTGAGGTTCGAAGGTCAAACCAAGAAGTTCAAAAGGTTTGTAGAGTTTCGAAACGTGCCATCCCTGCCAGAGAATACACTGGCACTGTCTATTAGGAGGAAATCTAAAATGATCTGCGAGAAGCCGAACGTTTGTCTTACGAGAGTTGGCGCCCGTCGCATCCCCTGCAAGAACGACGGTCACTTCCCCTCCCCCCCCCCCCCCCCCCCTACTTAGAAAACTAAAATCGGAGACCACTGGGATACTCTGCTCCGCAAGTGGAACCTTTACAGTCACTCTAACACCAACGATGATGTAATGTGCAAGCGTCGTCTCCTAGGGGGTCTCCGCAAAAAAACAAAGAACGCTGAAAAAAAAAATTTCACTGGCCAGATGGTTTTTATTGGAACAGTGTGAAGGATATTTTCGCCTAGGACGCCAGAAGCGTGGCAAAGGTGAGGTACCCCGTGTGTCCCGGTATCTGGAGCGAAGGTATCGCCGCCTGGAAGCAGATGCCGCCGTCAGACTCGGGGCTCACCGACGAGAAGGCACGCTTGGGGATCTTGTCGTCTTCGGTCGCTTCCTCGGCCACTTCGTCCACTGCATCGTTGTCGTCCCCGGCTTCAGCGGCAGCATCGGCCGTGAAAACGACGGGTGATTCCTCCGCAGGCGTGCCACCGACTGCCGTTCCCTGTAATAAAAATAAATGCAAGAGCCGACCGTTTTGTAAAATGATGCATGGCATGATGGGTAGAATATTAGGCTCTTTAAAAAGACACACACAAAGAAATACTACGCCGTCTCCTTGGTTGTTGCCTGCGAGTCCAGCAAGCGGGCAATCGCTTACAATCGTTCGCATACGGGGAGCTCTGTGAGAAATGAGCGTGCGCAGTGAACCCGTTTCTTCGAGAGCGGAGTGCGTGGACATGCGCTGTAGCACAGCCGGCGCCACCTCTCTGACGTGAAGTCGTCGGTAATGGTATGAGTATATCCTTGCACATACTTTCTACAAAGTCTATTCTACATCCCTTTCACCTTACGATGGACCGTAGTCGACGCTATGAGCAATCCTATACCAATCCAGTTCTTTGAGCATGTGACCGAAGGTCACGCGTGACTCACACGACATTGGACTAGCTCAGAATGCTCGCAGAGTCCGCTGTCGTTCATCGGGACGTGAAACGGAGTATGGTGTGGTACCCTGCTACCACGGCAACACAGAAATGTCACTTCGGCTAATGGTAATGCGGCCCAATCTTCCTTTAGAATACCGCAGGTAAGGCCGTTAACTCACATCGCAGACCAGAGTTCACGCTAGGAACAGCGTTGATGCAGAGCTGAGTTGAAGTTAACTAGCACTAATCCAGCTCAATATCAGTTGTCACTAACAGGTCGAAGTCGGGGCTGCGTCAGCGAGGTCAGCGCTATTTTCAGCGCTGCGGTGTATATGTGAACAGGTCTCAAAGGTCACGCGTTTACACGATGTCCCGTCCCTTGTGTACCTTCTTGGATTTCTTCTGTTTCCGGAATGCCCCCAAGGATGCGGGTTTGCGAAGATCGGTCATCGTGACCTGCTTGACCTCGTACGGCCTTTCCAGGCACTCCCAGGTGGTGATGTCCACGAAGCCTCGGTCTCTGAGTGCCAGGCAGGTGCGCTGCACTTGCTCCACGCACGGCGAGAACGAGCACAGCCGACCTCCTGCGGATAGTGAAAAACGCCGCTGGTCAATACACGTCTAAAAACCACTACAAAACATAGCTGGACTAACTGTTAAACAAAAAACAATTAAGAAAAAAACAGCGCCTGGAATAACAGATATAGGCTCGCTCCGAAAATTGTATTCTTGTTCCGAGGTACGAGTTCTCACGACACAATTTACCAATAGTTTTCAATTACACTGAACCTGGAATCCAGATGACGGCAAGATCAATTATTTGTCCGGTGTCACGTGGTCTTGAACCATCGATGATGTTCAAGAAAGAAGTGAGTGTAGGTACCCTCCTTGGAAGCATGGTGTAAGGCGCAAAAAAGACAACGGACACGGGGAAGACACACACACGGGCGCCTGCATATGTGCCTTCTTCCTTGTGTCCGTTGTCTTTTACCGCCTTATACGATGCTTCCCAACGTTCACCAACTAGCCCATTATCAGTTCTTGTAATATACCCCTTCCTTGTCCGCATAATTTTATTTCACGACGTCTAGAGCCACGAGAAGCATGCACTGCAGGCCGTAGAAGCATCTACATCGCGCGCCAAACGGTTGACTTTTTGGGTGTAGTCAAAAGTCCCCTCCAGAAGAATTTGAAACCTGCGGAAGGTCGTCGCCATGGATACCGACCAGGTTACAACTCTCCACATTCCACTTAGCTTACACGTTACAAGATAAGTAAATAGCTTTAAAGCCGTAATAGACCCTTTTTCAAAACCTAGATTCATACCCCACCCCTGCCCGTTTCGATCTGGACGAGCATCGTATATCGGCGTGCGGTCGAGTATCATTACTGCGTTCTGTACGTTAAAGACCCCCAGGCTAGCGCTTGTACCGCACTGGCTATTCGTTCATCTAAAGTTGAGACAGTGGACGGCCGTTGTTATCTTTGTTGTGTTCGCCCGTTGTTGTCTTTGTTGTGTTCGTCCGTTTTTTTATCGTTTCCCATCTCAGGGTTTACAAGATGTCGAATAATTACCAGCTCGCCTGCACTTTCTCACTGCTTACAATGCTAACTTCTGGCTGTTTAAACATACACGCAATATTATTATTGTGCAACCCCATCAAGCAACCGTGACAATCGCCATTCCTTGGGCTTTTTTAGACCTATAGGCTAGGTGGTGCAAGCTACCGCCCGTGCAGCCATTAACATCCATCCATCCATCCATTGGAGACAACGCGTGTCATTCGATCCGAGCCCTCGCCGAACGCTGTCGTTTTAGAAAAGCAAGTTTTGCGCATTGTTCATACGCGGCGCGAAGTAGTTCTTACGAGATTTGGTTGTCGGAGGAAAAAGCGATGCTTTTGGCGTTTGAAACGTGTACGTCGTAATAAGATAACATGTATCTAATCTGGAATTCACATACATAAATCCCAATTCTCCACATAAAGGGGGGAATTAGTAATACTCCGCGAAGAGTGGGACTTTTTTCTGACTACGGTTCTTGAGGTAAAAACGGGTGTAGAATAACCAAAGCCCGTGTGCACCAGAACCCTGACGTTTCCAGAGTGACATCGAGCGAAGACACAGGTTGGATACGAGTGTTGCGTCAGTGCTCGACTGGGCCAAGGCGTCATAGGACCCCGGAATCGGCCTCGGGTCCACTAATGATGACGTCACGCGCAGGCCTTGTCTTGTAGGCCTTACCATCAAACTAGAACGCACAAGCGGAGCTCCATGCATTTGTGCACGCACGCACGCACGCACACACACACACACACAAACAATCTATCATTTCAATCAAGCCCCGAACGCACCCGCACTCTCCCCATCGGCAGAGAGAGAAAGAGACCGCAAGCCGCACGCGTGGCGTGCTCATCGCACCACCACGACGCCAAAACGACGTGATCAAAAACACCGGAGCCACACGCCGTAATATAAACGCAGGAACCGCCCCCCTCCCCAGGGGCAGCCCGCATCATCTGCATGGCAAGCCACCTCGCGCGCGAACCACACCCATGCCCCCGTGCAGCGCCGAGCACTCGTATGCACACACGGCACACACACACACGGCGTACGCAGCAAGCAGCCCACGGCCAAACGGGGGCGGCGGAAAAAGCCCCATAGATCGCCGCTGCATGCTGTTGCGTATGCCCAGTAGCAGCGACACGTATGAGATACGGCGGCGGCGGCGATCCACTTGGCGGGAGAAGTGGCCGGCGCCACGCAACGCGGCCGGCCGCCGCTCGGCCGCACCCAGCGGTAGTTTTGCCACTCCCCAGGACCGCGAGGCAGACTCTCGCTGAGCAGACGGAGAAAAAGCTCCCGCTAGCCGCAGAGCTAAACAAACAAAAACAAGAAAGAGAAAGAAATCGGAGCAGCGTTCCCACGCTTGCCGCACCCAGGGGGTAACGCGGGCAAGTAGCCTTCCCGAAGGCAATAGGGGTACCCCCGGCGACGGCCCACATGAATCACTCTAGTACCACCCCCCGCAAGCTCATGGATCTCGCGAATCACCGTGATCGCGATTGGCGGGCAGCTCGATCAACTTCACCTAGAATAATCGAAGCCCGTGGACTCGGATTTCGACGTCATCACAACAGTGACGTCGAGCGAAGACTAGCGTCGGGCTCGGGTCCGATAGACCCTGGTCACAACCCGATCTAGCAACACTGGCGGTCGCCATTTTTCGGGGCATCGAACGCGCGATTGGATCTCAGTCCTCGCCGAATGCCACGACGCGGCACGATCGTTTTCGATCCGAAGCCGAGCCGAGTTGACACCGAGCGCCGACGCGGTCCTCATGACTCGTGTCCGACATACAAAAACAATGGCTGACTCGAACGATTGCCGCAGCAGCCGCCAGACGGCGCGCGCTTCCGAAAGGGATCCATTGTCATGTTGACGTCATCCAATTGTGATTACGTCACAGCTGTGACGTCAGAGCGTCGAGAGGTGCTTCCGAGAGGTGATTATAGTCCGTTGCAACTGAAGCAAGTGGGGCGAAAAAAAGGAAGGCCGGGGAGGATGAAGCAGACGGAACGCTGGAGAGAGGAGAAGGTTTCCCCCTCTCCTCTGCAGCGTTCCGTCTGCTTGTCCCTTCCCAGCATTCCTTTCCTTCGCCCTTCGTGTCTCTACCCACTGTGTCCTTTCATGCGTATTCCTCCCTTGCTAAACCAAAAACACGGACAAAAAAAAGAAAAAAGAAAAAAGCGCAGTATTACAGCGCTTTAACTGTGGGCGTGATTGGTTTAGCCGATGATAACGCACGCATAAAGAGCCCCGTGACGAAGCACTTTTGACGCCTGCACGATTCGCTCAAATGAATCGTACGGCGTCGGCTGTGCTCGGACTTGATGTAAAACGGCCAGTGCAAACACCACTGCAGGTACGGCACCTCGAATCTCTCTCGCTGACACTTTGGCCCTGGTATACGATATGACCGCGCTTCCACAGACCAATGAATCCGGGTGCCAAAAGCTGTCTATATGATATAACGGATACGGATATCGGTACTGGAGAACCATATCAACGTACCCAGTTTCATCCTGTATATTAGGGAGTTTTCGTAGACCGCGGTGCCCCCTCCGCTAAGCGTTCCGCAACGAAGAAGTCGCTACTGCGCCTGCGCGCCGATAGCCTTGACTGTGGAGTTCCCGCTATCGTAGCGGGTTGCGGAGGGCCTTGCGGGACGGCGAAAACGATCTACGAAAACTCCCTATTGTGTCGCCATATCTATAGGGCAGACCGACCTCACGCCGCCTATCCGTTCAACGTGCAATTTACTTCTTTAATTTTTGTTTTCGTGCCTTTGGACGGGGTTAAGCAACCCGAAAAGGACATTGTACCCCGACAGTGCCAATGCTGCGTAACGAGCGCACAGCTACAGGCCACTCACTGTTTCCACGGTACTGACGCGTTTCCAACAGCCGGCAGCATTCCTACGACACTGAACTGCAAGAACGAGGCTAGCGAACGTTTTTAAAGCATCTATCATAGCAGAAAAGGTAAACGAGAACAGAACTAAGATGAAGGATGGAGTGTGCAACCCAGGGAACATAAGACTCATTTCGGCGGCCACAATAAAATAACATTAATCAATTGCCGCGACCAGACCCAGCGCAAAACCTTGCTCTCGCAATCCTTTTAGCAATCTAAAAAATCTAAAAAATAAAAATTAATATTGTAGTTTTCATTGTTATATTTTTGCGTTACGTATTTACACCTGTTACGTGTTTCTCTTTAACTCCGCGATAATTGTTGCGGCGGTATGTCAGGCTGGAGCCGTCTCAAATCATTCATACTTCCTGAGGGCGCTTGGCGGTACTAATATATGCATATATATACTGTATATATATATATTCGAGCACAGGGAGCCCCTTCTGACACTTAATTGCAACTATTCTTTGGGGTACATTCGTCATCAAGTTTCTTCGGGCTCACGTGGCACCACGCATAACAAAGAGTGTGTGCAATGTGCCCGTACGTCGCCCAAGGCAGTAACAATTAGTGATATGGGCCGAACTTCTGCCGAAATGAAAATTCGGCGCCGATTCTTCAGATTCTTCAAAGCCAAAGTTTTGCCGACCTTTCCTAAAGATCCGGCAAAGATGGATGGATGGATGGATGATATTGGCTATGCCCTTTGTAACGGGCGGTAGCTTACGCCACATAACCAAAGAAAATCTGCCTTCCTCCCTCCGCTTAAAGGAGCGATGCAACAATTCTTGTACTTTGCGCAAATAGCGCTTAGAACGGATCCCTGACATTAATGACCTATGAAACACGCGTTCGTTTTTCACCCCACGCAATAGGAGTCCCAGAAAATAATTAAAGAAAAACGAGCAGCGTTCACCCTCTCAACTCGCAGCCAGAACAAGCGGCCACGTGATCTGGAGCCGATTATATGCCGCCAATGTTGATCATAGCCACGCGCTGGGGTTGGCAAAGCGCAGGACACGCGCTGAGTTCCAGACATTGTTATGGCTCGGCTATTGTCGTCGTTGCCGCGATTGGACACGGGCCACTACCCGAATGCTTCTCGAGC